AGTTACTTATTTATTAGGGTTATAGATATATATGTATGTGCGTGTGAGATAGATAGATTTACTCATTGATATTAGCGAGACTTCAAATAAATTTGTGACGTCACTTTCACATACAAAGATATGGACCCGCACAAATCACTCCTTGATTTAAGAAATTATTTCGTTTTCTTTTCGGGTATAATTAAAATATCAAAAAATTCGTGTTTTACATTCCATTATATACGGAGATTCATTTCACAAGGATAGAGAATTGAAAACATTTTCTGAGTCGGCAAGAAAAAGGAACATAAAAGAGATTTGCAACAAATGCCCTACTTTTCAACTTTTCACTTGAATAAAAGTGAAAATCTGTAAACATGTGTCTAAACTGATGATGGAAAATTTGCATGCATTCTCTTTCTCATTAAATACCTTCATTTTGTATCATACTACGTGTGATTATTATTTTTTTGTCTCTTTTAGACCAACATCGTATTTAATAGTACTGAGGTTGTCTTGATACTCGTGTTTGCCATCATAGTATTATTTGCTTGTGGTTTATCTTCTGAATTCAAGTTAAATGCATACATGATACATTGTATATTATGTAGAGTTCGGTAAAAACTTTTAAAAACAACTTATTAATGATGTACTGTTTATTAATGTATAATCTCTTAAAATTCAAGTTTATAACTTATATATGTACAACTTCTTAAAATCCTGCGTTTGAACTACATGAAACCAATTGAAAATTGTTTGTGTTGAGATCCATTGTCACATTCAGTGGCGGATCCAAGATTTTTGTTCAGCGGGGTCACCTTTAAGGTAGACTAAAGACCCGTAAAATCGTCCGATGAGTTTTTAACCTAATTACAACGTTTTCGAGGGAATTTTAAAGTCTTTTGGTTGATTTCGAAGGATTTTTTTGGTGTTTTTGTCAATTTCGAATAACTTTTTTGGTTTTTTTTATTGATTTCAACAGATTTTTTGGTTAGAGTAATGGTTTCGATTGGGATTGGGGGCCCGTGGAAAAATGTAACGGGGGAAATGAAAAGTAAATCATGTAAAACCTAAATTTTAACCTATATATTTTTTTAAATTTTTGACTAGAGTCTCTTCCCCCCTTTTTTTTTAACATTGCATCGACCCCTGGTCACACTAGTATGATAAGATACCTTATAAATTTTAGATCTTTTAAATAAAAAATACATTAATATTTTATTTTTGTTTAAAATAGAATTTTACCATTACATGAATATACAACAAATGTATATAAAATATATAAAAAAAAGGCAAATATCTTTG